CACACACACACACACACACACACACACACACACACACACACACACACACACGCACAAATCTACGTATAGATATGGGTCACCCTCTATGAACGGTAGTGTAATTTCGAGAACTGCACTGTCACAATAACACTTCCAATAACACAAGAGTATAACCTATAACGTGTAGACACCATTCCTGTCTCACATAGTTTTCAAACCTACCGAGTTGCGACAACACATCTATATAACCTGAACTGTGAAAACGTCCAATCACTGGCCTCGTCGACCATCTCAGTTGTTGCACGTCCTTTTCGTGGTCACCTTCAACTCTTGGCGTATTGTTGTCATCTTTTTGTTCCTTCTCTTGGATCATATCCTCGTTCGTACTCTCCGATGTCATATCTATTATGGAAATGTGTTCGCGGGATCCCTCACCTTTCGTTGCCTGCTCTGTTGTTGTTGCCAAATCCTCTTGTGGCACCTTCACCGCCTGACTTTCATCATCCTGGCCATCATCGGTCTCCATCATCTCAGATACGCCTTGCCTCGCCGCCATTGTCACTACAAGAGACCCGAAAGATCCAACGTTTGTTGTCCCATCGTTGACCCCCCCTGTTGGCTGCTCTGTCAATGCGCCCGACTCCATGTCATCGTCGTCTTTGCGTATCATTGTGGAATCCCCAATTGCGATTCTCGGAGTGCTTTGTTGAGCATATGCTTGCTGCTGTTCATCCTTCGCAGGCTGGATCCCCTCTGGCAATCGGAATGATGGTGTTAGATGTGATAACGTCCTGAGTCTTCAGAGAGTTGATGCTATCGTTTCCTTGTACTGCTGAAGCCAGTTCGATTTTCCAATTGATGGAGCCGTACGATACACTTGATGCAAGGTCGTAGAACTTTGTGCTGAATTCTAGCTTTTTGTTCGCACGCAGATGCTCGAACAAAGCTTTCCCCTTTGCCGCTATAGCTTCCTCGCTTGCACCGGCGTTTTCTTCCAAAACTCGCCGAAAAATTTGCGTTTTCGTCACGCTGTGCCATATCGCAGAGTCCTTTTTTTCCTTGACGACCCACCCTCGGTCTCTTGTCTTCACAGCCATCTGCCACTTGCTTGCAAACACACACGGTTCGAACACACCCTCATGCCAGAGAATATGATGACCCCAATCCTCCTCCGATGACTCTTTGTACTTGTCCTGCAGCAAGTATGACACTGAAGGGTCTGGGGCAAAGCCTTGAGGCAACGGTCTTCCTGGCACGAGCTTCGGCGTGAGTGCTGCCATATCCAACTCTTCGTCTTCATCGGTGTCCATGGACATGAGTGTTCGTTGCTCGGCCTGCGGTGCATGTGTCGATGATGGCCCAGCTGTCGGCGGGGCCATTGCACACCCATTCTCTCCTCCCCCTGTGTTGCCCTGTGAGTTAATTATCCCCTCACTCGCACCCACCGGGTTTGTTGGTACACCATTCCTTTCTCCCCTTCTAGTCATTCTTGTTTCCACATTTCCCTCACTCGCACGTGTTGCTCCCATACTCGAACTCGCCTTCTCTGCAGGTCCGTTGGTGCTCCCTTGCGGCTCCTCGCCACGCGCTCCCTCCGCCGCACCTCGTGCCGCGCGCGACGGGATGTCCAGGTCGGAGTCTGACGTGTCTTCGTCGCAATCGATGTTGTTGAAGTTGCCGGCTTTACGTGCCAAGTCTGCATAGCCCCGGCTTGACAGTGCTCTTTTCTTCATATTGAAATACAGATGCTCACAACGTGCGACAAACATGTGGAAAGCACCCATGTGCGAGCCATGGAGTTGGCTTTTCCTGATGACGTAGTCGTTACCAACCGCCGACTGTGGAGCGTCACCGAACAAGTAAGCCCACACTTTCTCCCTCTTTCTACCGAGCTTATAGTATATGTCCCGGTCCTTCCCGCCATGAATCTCATCAGGACCACCTAAACGCCTCGGCACCTTCCTCGCCTTGCGTCAGGGATGCGGTCGCGTTCCTCGGTTCATTTTTCGTCGGTGAGGCCGTTTTTGCTGTATCTTTCCAAGATGGTCGTATAACCGATGAAGAAGTCAACGTTCCACTCTTCCTTTGACCTCCCCTCGACCTTCAACAATATGTAGTTGAACATACAGACTATATATCTCTCACCCCGAATATATTTTACCAGGTCCGCCATGTTGCATCTACCACGAGGTACCGTACGTGATGTCACGATGACATCACCACGCGTTATGTGATGCAGCGCCACTTGCTTCTCTCTCGCTGTCATATCACCAAACAACTTAAAGATTGAGGGCGTCAAGTCCAGTATAGACATTGTTGCGCCTTGCGACCCCTTTCTGGCCTTGATGCAGTGGTACAAGACTTTTTTGTCGGAGTTGTCATTGAGGAAGTATTGCCCAGGCAGCCTTCCTTCCACTTTCCGCGGCAGATCGACGTATCTCACACCGTCGATTCTTGGCAATAGTCTTTTCTCGTACATGCCAAAGAATTTGTCTACCAGTGGCCATACCGTCTCGCCGCACTGCGCAAGATTCATGTATCCGCGCATCTTGTTCGTCCAGTCCTTGCAGTAGTCGTTCTCCAGGGACAAGTTCATGAGACCGGAGTCAGGTGTAATTTTGCAGGCGGCGTTCATGAATGCTTCCCACTTCTTTTTCCGTTCCATTCCCTCGACGTCATTCGGGGACATGGTGCCCGGAGGACGGATCCGGTCTTTCCTCTTATCCCAAAATCTTCTGATTTGTCGCACAGACGACGAAAACGATCTCGGGATGGAACGCTCCTCCCTCGTGTTGTCGAATGTCGAGACATACGGATATCCTCTCTTTTTGTCGTCTTCAAAGTAGACAACGCGTACGTGAGAGTACGACCTCAAGCCGTACACTTTCTCGGCCGGTGACTTGTCCTTAATGAGTATGTTCATTGCCTCAGCCGTGTGCTGGCCAGCAACAGCATACCAGTGGTATGTATGAGCCAGTGCGACGTCGAATTCCTTCGGTGCGATCCGTCTGCCTTGAGAGCCGTCCCCGTTCGGTACGATGGGAGCCAGGATGAAAGTCATGATATCCCACTTCCCGTTGGTTTCCTTAGCCTCATAATGGATCGCATCCTATATGGACTGTACCAACGTTTTGTCCAATGTTCTATGGTTGAAGAGGATGTCACCTTCAAGAATTGGCAAGATCTTCGTTACATCCACTTGAATGTGTTCCCGATTCTTCTTCGCAAACCCATCCTCATCGAACTCCAAAAAGAAGCACCGTGTTGTGTCGATGGCGTCATAACGGGTGTCAGCGGAAGGTTGTGTCGGTTCCGACGGAGCCCTTGGAGCAACCCCTTCGGCGTCCTCTCCGGAGTCACCCTCATCGACCATCTGCTTTCTTTTCAGTGGACGTTTCTCCGCTTTTGTCGTCCTGGTTGACGCCTTCCCTTTGCGGTTCTTCACGTTTTCTGCGACCGCCTCTTGAGAAGCTCTGAGTGTCTCTCGAGATGCAGCGACAGTGAGTCTCTTCGCAGCGCGTTTATCCGCCATCGCCGTTTGACTTATTGAAGAATGCCGCTTCCTTTTGTGCACACTGCCCTCCGACCAATCTCCTGTTCCCTCATCGACCTCCACATCAGGTGACGCTTCTTGCCCTCTATCCTCATCATCGCCAGGATAGGCATCATCGTTTTCTCCATCGCCCCCATAGTCCCCCTCGTCGTGTTGTCGAGACTCCCCGTCATCGCAGTCGTGCATAGATTCCTCACGATCCTCTCCCTCTCTCTCTCTCTCCCTTTTCTCCTCTTCGACATCGTCCTCTTCGACCCCACATTCCTCATCGTCGACGGCATGATTACCCTGCGGATGCTGATCAACACCAATCCCAGGATCATCCTCCGTTTCCTCGTCCGATCCTTCGCTTATCTCCTGCGGGGCAGCCCTTCCCCGTATGCACCACCATAGTCTTTCTGGCGGGTAGTAGACGAAGCAGTTGACAAGGCCTTCCTTCTGTATGTAATGACAGGGGTGCCTTCGTCTTGCCGGGTGGACGGCTGAGACGGTCCTGCACATTCCCTCTGGTGGGTCGATTCCACAGGAGGACCACGAGCCCCTTCGTCAGGATGATGACGAGGCTGGGTCCGTTTGTTGCGGCGCCGGCTTCCACCCGCCGACGTCTGCTGTGTTGGAAAACAAAGTGGCGTCATCTGTCTCTCCCTCTTTGCTATGCCGGGGAGATCCTTGTCCGGCGTGTCAAAAGGCACGAGTGTCGAATGCATACAATGCCCGGCCTGTACCGTGGGATTGTTTCCGGATTTCCTGTACCCGTTCGTTTTGGCGAGGAATTTCACAGGGCCAAGCATCATCAACACACTCCCGTCTTCTTTCGGGGAGACATCGAAGGCTTTCATAGTAATCGCCTTACCTCCATACCCCTTGAGAAAATTGTAATCAAGGCTGACTTTATTGTCGACCTTCGCATGGTCCCCTCCCTATTCTTCGTACACCGTTGTGAGGAAAAACCTCCTGAACTTCCGTCCATGCCCGTCCGCCCTCTCATCCTCGGATTTAATAATCCCTCCAACACAGAACCAGTTGTCACCCGTGGCGGTCTTCAGAAACAAAGCAGCCCCACATCCTGCCTCGTGTAGGCCCCCCACCCAATCAAGGGCCCACTCCCTATCTCTACACATTGAGCAGATCTTATAGACTCTCTTTTCCTGGACAGTAGATGCTCTCAATGCGAAACGAGCGGGGGTACGGCGTTTCGAGAACATCGCACCCCCGCTCCCTTCCCCCCCCACCGCGAATCGGCGGGGGTATGGCGTTTTCAAAATGTCGTACCCCTTCGGCTCTGTCCACATACAGGGCCTAGGGGGTACGGCTCTGTTACGATAACACCGCACCCCCGTTCCCTCCCCCCGCCTCGAACCGGAGAGGGTACTGCGTTCTCGAACCTCCGGACCCCCTCCGGTTCCCGGGAAGCGAAAGGAGCGGGGGTGGAACGCCGTACCCCCCGCTCCCTCCCTCGCTGACAACCGGAGGGGGGGTACGACGTTTTCAAAACGCCGTACCCCCTCCGGTTCCCGGCGGGGGAGGGAGCGGGGGTACGGCGTTTCGAGAACGCTGTACCCCCGCTCCCTCCCCCGCCGAGATCCGGATGGGTACAGCGTTTTCAAAATGCCGTACCCCCACTCCCTCCCCCGCCGAGAACCGGATGGGTACGCCGGACCCCCTCCGGTTCCCGGGAAGCGAAAGGAGCGGGGGTACGGTGTTCCGAGAACGCCGTACCCCCGCTCCCTCCCTAGCTGACAACCGGAGGAGGAGTACGGCGTTTTCAAAACGCCGTACCCTCTCCCGTTCTCGGCGGGGGAGGGAGCGACGGAGCGGGGGTACGGCGTTCCGAAAATGTCGTACCCCCGCTCCCTTCCCCGCCGTCAACAAGAGGGGGTACGGCGTTCCGAAAACGCCGTATCCCCACCGGTTATCGGCGGGGGCTGGAGCGGGGGCATGGCGGGCCGGA